TGTGCTGCCGGCAGCACATTCCTACGAGGAGCAGTATCCTTCACTCCATGGAAAATGTCTGTGCGGCCCGGACATGGGGGCGGGGGGCGGAGAAGAGCAGGTGACCCCCGAGGAGCGGGGAGAGGAAGGGGGGGTGAGATCCCCTCGGATTTACCGCTGCCCCCTCCCGGGGGGACCCTCCATCCTCTCCAGCCCTGCCCCCTTTCTCTAGAGAGCAACGAGCAACATCCAGGGTGACCCCCCCCTTCCCTCAAATTCCTGAGAAGGTCTGTGTTCTCCTCCCCCGATTGTGCCCCATTTTCTCTCCACTTCGCCAATGTCCAGTTCAAATCTCAGGTGTGGGGTGTTTCCCCCCATTTTTTACCTGCAGTGATTTGTCCTTGTTCAGGTGGGAAATCGTTCCCCTGAGAGATTTCTGAACTGGGAAGAGGGTTAATGGGCAGAGGCTGGGAGAGCCCTGAGACAGGGACACCGCTGGGCTGGGGGGGGGGGGCACTCTCTGCTGGCAACAGGGCATGGAAAGGTCCAGGAAGGGAAGGGAGGAGCAAGCATCCCCCATGGAGACTGCCCAGTCCCAGCTACTTCCCCTCCCCCACCCTGCCCAACCCAGCAGCCCCCCCCCCACTACTGCTAGTCACATTCCCAAACCCCACAGCCAGTGACCTTCTGACTCTAGCCCCACTCCTTTCCCCTGTGAAAGTGACATCAACCAGGGCTCCCTGCGGGCCATGTGAATGTGAGGCAAGAAGAATCCATCCCATTCTGTTGTTGATTATCACTGTTTAATCCCCTCAAATTTCTCCTCTTTTCTCTTGAACTGTTGAATGGTGACATAAAAACTACCGCAATGTTGGTGCTTCTCTCTTATGTGGGCAAATATTTAGTTTGCGCCCCATTTTCTCCTCAGTTCTGAAATACTGATATCAAATTCTTGAAAATCTTCCTGCTTTTCTCTCCAGGTGTCTGACTGAGATCAGGTTTCAAAGTAGCAGCCATATTAGTCTGTATCCACAAAAAGAACAGGAGGACTTGTGGCATCTTAGAGACTAACAAATTTATTTCAGCATAAGCTTTCGTGGGCTACAGCTCACTTCTTCAGATGCATAGAGTGAAACACACAGAAGATATTTATACATACAGAAAACATGAACAAAAAAACTTCAAAACAGACTTCAAAGAGAGACTGCTGAACTCGAATTAATATGCAAATTAGACACAATTAACTTAGGTCTAAACAGAGACTGGGTTATTACAGTAATTGAAATTTTTTCCCCCCATGTTAAGTTCTCCTCACACCTTCTATGGGTCATCTCGATTATCACTTCAAAGTTTTTTCTTCTGCTGCTACTGATAGCCCATCTCAATTGATTGGCCTCTTACAATTGGTATGCGTACTTCCACCTTTTCATGTTCTGTCTGTGTGTTTCACTCTATGCATCTGAAGAAGTGGGCTGTAGCCCATGAAAGCTTATGCTGAAATAAATTTGTTAGTCTCTAAGGTGCCACAAGTACTCCTGTTCTTTTTGATTGAGATCAGGGATCTTATCATACTGAGCATGGCTCAGGCCTTGCCTGATATCAGGTCCCCCAGTGTGCTGGGCACTGCACAAACCCTGACCAAGTTTGGGGCACTCATTGTGCCAGGAACTGCACAGATCCCTATGGAGAGCAGGGACCTTGTGCCGGGTGCTACAGTGACCCTGACTGAGCTCCGGGCCCCTGTTGTGCCAGGCCCTGCATCAACATGAAGTGAAATCAGGCTCCCATTGTGCCAGGTGCTGCAGAGACGGGAAACAAAATCAGGGACCTTGTTGTTCCTGGAGCTGCAGAGACCCCAACTGAGATCTGGACCCTGTTCTGCCAGGTAAAACTGAGACCTGGACTGAGATCACAGCCCCCCTTATGCCAGGCAGTGCACGACTGCAGCCCAGATTGCTGCCTCCATTTTGCTGGGCACTTCAGAGACTCCAACTGAGATCTGTGTCCCTGTTGGGCCCCGGCCCTGCACTGACCCCGACCAAGAACATGCCCCATCACTATTGGGCACTGCACAGACCATGACAGAGATCCTGCCCCCACATTTTGCCAGGTACTGCAGGGATCCCAACCAAAATCAGGGATCCTGTAATGCCAGGAGTTGCAGAGCCCCCGACTGAGGTCACCCCCCTGTTGTGCAGGGCTCTGCACAGACACTGACCACGATCAGGGTCCCCATTGTGACAGGTGCTGAACAGACACCAAGGGTATCTCTACCCTGCCATTAAAAACCCACAGCTGGCCCATGCCAGCTGACTCAGGCTCACAGGGCTCAGGCGAAGGGCTGTTTAATTGCAGTGTAGATGTCTGGGCTCGGGCTGGGGCCAGGCTGTAGGACCCTGCGAGATGGGAGGGTGCCAGACCTTGGGCTATAGCCAAAGCCAGATCATCGACACCACAATTAAACAGCCCCACAGCCTGAGCCGTGTGAGCCCAAGTCAGTGGGCACGGGCCAGCCACCGGTGTCTCACTGCAGTGTAGACATGCCCACAGTGACAGTCCTTGCCACAAAAAGCTCAAAGGCTAAATAGGCAAATGGTGGGAGGCAACTCTCCGTTTTACAGATGGGGAAAATGAGGCTTGGAGAACTGAAGTAATTTGCTCAAGTTTGCATGGAGAATTTGGGACAAAACTGGGAACTGAACCCAGATTGTTTGAATTCTTGCCTCTCCCCTTAGCCCCAAGCCCATCTTGTGTGTGTACAGCATTGTTTTGGTCTGTGTTTGAGTTGCATTGGTTTCCAAGGGAGGTTGTGGAATTTCCTTCATTGGAGGCTTTTAAGACCAGGTTAGAGGTACACCAGTCTGGGAATATCTAGGCATACTTGGTCCTGCCTCATCACAGGAGGCTTAAGTTGATGACCTCTCAAGTCCTTTCCATGCCTACATTGAAATAATTCTCTTTTGTGCTGTGCCCTTGTGACGGGTTGGATCGGAGAAACCCCTTTGGGACTGCCACCTGATGTGCTGGGACTACCTCTGAGCCTGTTTTCCCTGCCAGCTTGGGACTTCAGAACCTTGCCTTGTTTGAGCCAGACACGCTTGCCTGCTGCAAACACAGATCCAAGTCTAAACCACATCCCCCAGAAGCTGAAGGCTTAACTGAAAATGGCTTAAGAAGTGTTCCTGTCTCCCGCACTCAGATACCCAACTCCCAATGGGGTCCAAACTCCAAATAAATCTTTTACCCTGTATAAAGCTTATACAGGGTAAACTCAAATTGTTCGCCCTCTATAACACTGATAGAGATGCACAGCTGTTTGTCCCCCCAGGTATTAATACATATTCTGGGTTAATTGATAAGTAAAAAGTGATTTTATTAAATACAAAAAATAGGATTTAAGTGGTTCCAAGTAATAACAGAAAGAACAAAGTGATTACCAAGCAAAATAAAATGAAACACGCAAGTCTATGCCTAATACAGTAGAAATTAAATGCAGATAAATCTCACCCTCAGAGATGTTCCAATGAGTTTCTTTGACAGACTAGCCTACTTCTAGTCTGGGTTCAGCAATCACTCTCACCCCTGTAGTTACAGAATTGATTCCTTGAGGACCTGCTCCATGATTTTTCCAGGGACTGAGGTGAGGCTGACTGGCCTGTAGTTCCCTGGATCCTCCTTTTTCCCTTTTTTAAAGATGGGCACTACATTAGCCTTTTTCCAGTCATCCGGGACCTCCCCCGATCGCCATGAGTTTTCAAAGATAACTCTGCAATCACGTCCGCCAACTCCTTTAGCACCCTCGGATGTAGCGCATCCGGCCCCATGGACTTGTGCTCATCCAGCTTTTCTAAATAGTCCTGAACCACTTCTTTCTCCACAGAGGGCTGGTCACCCCCTCCCCATACTGTGCTGCTCAGTGCAGTAGTCTGGGAGCTGTCCTTGTTCGTGAAGACAGAGGCAAAAAAAGCACTGAGTACATTAGCTTTTTCCACATCCTCGGTCACTCGATTGCCTCTCCCATTCAGTAAGGGGCCTACGCTTTCCTTGACCACCTTCTTGTTGCTAACATACCTGAAGAAACCATTCTTGTTACTCTTAACATCCCTTGCTAGCTGCAACTCCAAGTGTGATTTGGCCTTCCTGATTTCACTCCTGCATGCCTGAGCAATATTTTTATACTCCTCCATGGTCATTTGTCCAATCTTCCACTTCTTGTAAGCTTCTTTTTTGTGTTTAAGATCAGCAAGGATTTCACTGTTAAGCCAAGCT